AAATGTGGGAAATACAGCCCCAGAGAAGTCTGGAGCCAGCAGTGGTTGTTAGAAAAGGAAATGACACAGTGAGATGGGAATTTTAGGACGTTCACTCTGGAAGCCAATGTCAAGGCCAGGCTACAGGGCCAGACCTGCGAGAAGGCTGGGGCACAGTCCAGGGGAGTTGTCACTCTAGCAGGGGCCACGGAAGCAGAGGGTTCGGACGGGGCTGGAAGCTACTTCAGAGACTCTGGCCTCTGAATGGAGAGGGGGGAAATAAGAGCAGAGCCTGGGGGATCTGGGGGGCGGGGAGCTGGTGCATCTCAAGGACCGAGGATGGAAGAGAGATCTGAACATGTATGGGGCAGTGCCAATGTCGGGGTGCTTGGGGAAGGAAGGAAACCAGAGGGTTCGACTCATGGAGATTGAGGCTTACATGAGGCTGGTTCCAGAAACTGAAAAGCTACTCATCTTTCAGGGTTGATCAGTCATCAGTGAGGGACAAGAAATGACACCGGGCAAGGGAACAGGTAGAAGCTCGGAGCTAAACTTAGCTGGAACTCACAGAGCTGCTTCGAGCACGGGAAGCACCTCTATGCAAATCAGAAAAGGGCACCCCTTCCTCTGGACCCTGAGGCCTGCCCTGAGCTAGGGGCCCTGCTAACCCAGCCCACAGCCTATCCGTGCCCCCTGGCCCCTTGCTTGTCGTGCACTTCCCTCTTACGAGGCCGCCGGGGAGTCTGGGAAGAGTCTCTGCCTTACCTTTCAGGATGGCCTGCAGTGAAGCCACCTCCTCTTGGCATTGCCGCTGCACTGCAGCCACGGCCTCGGCCTTCGTGCTCTCGCTCACCTCCGCCACGGCCTTCATGGTCTCCATTTCTGCCAGGGCGCCTGCCAGCTCAGCGCGCAGCTGGCCGAGCTCCTCTGACTCGGCCTCACCCTTCGCCCCTTCCTGGGGCTGGGGGTCCAGGGCTGTGGGGGACGGGGATCAACCTCTTTTCCCATCACTCCCGGGCCCGCTGTACCCGAGACCATCAAATCTACAAGTCCTGCAACCTAGTACAGCAGCCACGAGCCTCGTACCTTCACCTGGCCCCGCCCCGCTCACCTGGCCCCGCCTCCTTCTCACCTCGCTATGCCACGTGCGGCCTGGAGCCCCGCCTTCCCCCATCTTTTCCCAGACTAGACCCTCCCTTCCAATGGTCCCGCCCCTTCCCTCACTGGACCACCTCTCACCTGCCACTGGCCCTACCCCTCGACCGCCGGACCACGCCCCCTCCCCCGGTGGCCGCAGGCCCCGCCCCCTCTCTCCAGACGGCATGGCCCCGCCCCTTTCTCCAGTCTCCCCCTCACCCCCCCCATCCGCCGGCTCCGAGCTCGGCCCCGCCTCCGGCTCTGCCGCCCCTCGCGTGCATGGACGCGCCTTCACGTACCGGCCCCTGGCCGCCGTCGCCGGCCATCCTCGCCCGCGGCCGCCGGCGCAGCTGCCGCCATCGCCTCCGCGCAAACGGCGGGTTCCAGCACTCCCTGGTGACGGCGCTCACCCCTTCCGGGTCCCCTCGGCTGTTTCCGGATCCGCTCGGCTGTTTCCGGACCGGCCCCGGGCTCGAGGCCCCGGCCGGAGTTGGGGACTGATTGCCGAGCCCGGGCCGAAGATTTCCGAGTCCGAGTCCGAGTCCGAGCCCGGCCGCGGGCCCACGCCCCGCCCCGCCCCGCCTTCTTTCCTGGGCAGCGCTGTTCGAGAAGGACGCCTGTCCTTCAAACCCTGAAGAAGTTCTTTCATCAAAGGCCTTCTGGCGTTTCCGCGTGACCTTGGAAGGTCTGCTCAAGTTACACCTCCTCCGGGACGCCTGTCGGCCTCAGCCTAAAGGGGGCGAAGCTCTCGCGGTCTCCTCCGTGGTCCCCTGGCCACCTCCCGCCGGGGCCTGGCTCACATTACAGCGAATTGTGGCCGTGCCTGCCTGCACCTCCGCCCTGGTGGAGCGTCCCTCGGGGCAGGGCTGGGTCGGCTTCACTTTTCTGGGCGCAGGAGTCCCGCGTAGTCCGGTGGAGAAGTCAGAAACTTCTGCGTCCCCACCCCCACCTTGATATTCAACCAGTCAGGGTTTGCTGCTAATCCCCCTCCCCCTCCCCCTCCCTGTGCCTCGCAAATCCCTCCTCTCCTCCCTGGGCCACTGCCCTAAATCGAGGTCTCATTATCTGTGAACTTTCCAACAGGCGACCTGACATCTTCCCTTGGACGGTGACGTGCAGCTCAAACTTAAATCCAGAATCTGGGTTCCCGTTCTCCCAAACCCGTTTCTCCCTCTGTGAAGTACATTCCAGCAGTCTTTAAGTCCTGTAAGCTCTACCTCCAAAGGACTGAATATTCCAGAAGGTGTCCCTTTTTCTTTTTCTCCAGCAGTAACACCATCTCTCTCCTGAACTTATACAACATCTCCTAACTGTTCCCCTGTGGCCCCTTTTGGCTCCTTTAGTTAATTCTCAAAGCAACTAGAGTGATGTTTGCGAAACAGATCATATGTCAGCTTAAAATCTTCTAGTTCAATCCGATTTGGAAATGGGCAAAGGACAGGAATAGACAATGCACTGATGTCACAGATGGCAAATATGTGCACGAAAAGATGTTCACCATCATCAACCATTAGGGAAATGCAAATTAAAACCCCAAGGAGATGCCACTGCACAAAGCACACCTACCAGAATGGCAGTGATAATACCAAATGTGTGGGAAAAACTGGATTTCTCTTATATTCCTGATGGTAAATGTAAATGGTATAGCCACTCTGGAACAGAGTATGATTGTTTCTGGGGCACCTGGCTGGCTCAGTTGGAAGAGCATGTGACTCCTCATCTTGGGGTCCTGAGTTCCAGCCCCACCTTGGGTGTAGACATCACTAAAGAAAAAAAAAAAAAAAAATCTGGCCAGGTTAACTCCTGCTTATAAATCCCCAGCAGTTTACTGCCCTCAGTAGCTTACTGCCCTGAGATTTTCTGTGTGTGAGGCAGAGTTTCTGGAGAAGGAGGTGAAATAATGACTATAAGGCTCTAGTCAACTCTCAGGCTTGGAGTTTATCCTGAGACCCTGGGAGCCTTTGAAGGCTGTTGAGCATGAGAAGCACATGACTATTACCAAGGAAATTCTTTCTGTGTAAAGTGCAGGCAGAAAGCAAAAGAGAAGACAGCCCAGAAAAGAGGCTGTTGAAGTGGTTCTGGTTGGGAAGGGAAGAGTCCAAAAAGAGGAGGAAGTTGATTCTAGAAATATTTAGGATGAAAACTGGGACTAGGCTTGGCGACTGAGTGCATGAGAGGGAAGTGAAGAGAAAGTTTTCTTTTGGTCTTCCGAATTTCCTTCCTTTTGTGGACCTTAAAAGTAAAAGGTACTTTACCAGCAATAACTGGGTTGACTGGGGAATAGCAATTCAGGACAAGCAAGCTACAGCAAAAACTATAGGCTAGCCCAACCAACAAAGGAGAGGAATGTTATTTTAGGGAGAAGGAGGAAGTTGGGAGGGGTTGTTTGGAAGAAAGCCCGTTGGAGAAAAGCAGGAGTTCAGGGTGATGATGGTTTTTCATGGGCTGAGCTGCAGGGGTGGTGGATTTCTTGTAGGAGATGCAATGTACAAATGTACATCTTTTCCTGTTGGGGCCTGTAACTGATGACTCTTTCCTGTGGAGGGGTCTTCTGTTGGGTAATTGACCCCCTTCCTATAATTGAGGTAGTGGTTCAGCGTGAGAGCTCCCCCTTCTGGCCTGGTTTCCCTTTATGAACTTTCACACTTGATACGGCAAATATTTATTGAGCACCTACTAGATACCGGGGAACTAGACCGGAAAGATTCCTGTTGTGGAAGAGCCGGCGAACATTCTGGGGCAGGAAGTAGATGAAAGATTAACAAAGAAACAAGCATATTTGGGAACTGGGCAAATGCTGGGAAGGAAATAAAACGGGTGTGAAATCAAAATACGGGGGAGGGGGTGTCAGGAAAGGCCTCTCTGAGGAAGTAACATTTGAATGGAGGCCTGGGGGATGAAAAGGAGACAGGGGAGCGAAGAGCTGAGGAGGGATCCAGGAGGAAGAGCACAAGTGTGAAGGCTTTGTTTGGAGGAGGGGCAGGGCGGCAAAAAAGGTAGAGAAAATCTGAGGTAGAAAAGAAGCCACCACAGCGTTCTGAGCAGGGGACTGATGTGCGCTAGTCAGGAAACCACCTGTGAGACCGATGGAAAGCTAACGAAGGTGATTGGAGGGATTTTGTTGAATGAAAGGTAAACGGGGTCCTACCACCTCGCCCTCTGCATTCCCCAATGCCCCACGCTCCCCCTCCGAGCCACCCCAAACCGACCAAAGGGAAGTGGGGGCCCTGACAGCTGGAGGGTCCCCTGGGGTTTGCCTAAAGCAAACAGGAAGCTGCAGCCCAGCGAGCCCGGGCCTGGGAACTGGCAACTGAGAGAGCAGGTCTCCTGGGTCCCTGGACCCTTTCCCTGAGTGACTACAGAGGGACAGACAGAGATACACCCACACATGCAGAGAGAGAGAGAGAGAGAGAGAGCTAGAGGAGGAGGAAGGGGGGCAGAGACTGCGGAGCGGGGAGGGGCAGAAGCACAGATTTCAGAGTCGGGACCCCTGAGTTCTACTGCTTCTTAGTCACCAGCTCACTGTGTGACCTCAGGCAACACCCTGCCCTTTGGGGGCCTCAGTGTCCCCATTTCTTTTTTTTTTTTAAAGATTTTATTTATTTTTTTGAGACAGAGAGAATGAGAGAGACAGAGAGCACATGAGAGGGGGGAGGGTCAGAGGGAGAAGCAGGCTCCCCGCCAAGCAGGGAGCCCGATGCGGGACTCGATCCCGGGACTCCAGGATCATGACCTGAGCCGAAGGCAGTCGCTTAACCAACTGAGCCACCCAGGCGCCCAGTGTCCCCATTTCTAAATGAGTTCCTTCCATAACTGAAGCAGGGGCTTCCTGGGGAAGAAGTGGGACACGAAGGGGCATTGGTCCCCAGTCATTTCTCGGGACTGCTGTGCACGCACTTCAGGGGCAACCTGGCTTGTGCTCTCGGCCGTTGGCTGATGCTGTCTCTCATTAACTGAGGGCCTACTACGTGCTGGGCCCTGGGCTAAAAGTGCCATACGTATACTGCCCTGTTTAATCTTCATAAACAAGATTTTGAAAGCACTATTATTATCCCCAGTTTACAGAGAGAGAAGCAAAAGCCGAGAAAGATGAAGCCATTTAGCCAAGTGGTGGACATGGAGGATTCAAAGTCCAGTCGGCCAGATCTCAAAGGATGTGGGATGGGCTGGTTGTACAGAGTGGGAAGAAGGCCCAAGGAATGTGGGTCGAGTGAATGAATGGGGTGTGTGTGCGAAGAGAAATGGGTTTAGAGCCTTGGGTTGAAGGAGGGAGGGGGAGAAGGATGGAGTCCTTAAAATTGTAGCCCACTCAATTCAACAAATTTATTGGGCGCCCCAGATGCCCCAAGCACTGTCCCAGAGCACGGTGCATGCGGTGTTGAACAAGACCGAGGCTCTGCCTCAAGAGGCTTACACTCCAGTGGGAGGAACAGAAAGTGAACAAGCAGACACACAAACAAGGTCATTTCACACGGTGGTAAGTGTCGGGATGAAAATAAAAGTGTGGCAGGGAGGAGACAAGTTTTGTGGGTCTGGAGGGGTGCACGGAGAAGGGGACTGGAGGCATGACCACCCCTTCCTCCCTAGGGGGACTGCCTACCCGCCTGCCCGCCCCCACAGACGCTCATGGTTCAGTGCCCCCCAGGCCCCCGCCTGCCCCAGCATCCCCTGCGCGGCCAAGCTGGGTGCCCCGGGGAGTCTGGCCGCCATGCCACCTCCTCTCCTTCTCTTCTTCCTCCTCTTCCTCACACCCGAGGGAGTCAGGCCCCACGAAACACTGCTGGTGGAGGCTAAAGGTATGTCCAGAGGGTACAGATGGAAAGAGTTGGGGCTGGAAAACCTGGGTCTGGCTGGGTGCTCTTGGCCAAGTCACTTACCCTCTCTGGGCCTTCATTTTGTTATTTGTAAAATTCAGGGAGGGGTTGGAAGGACTCTGAGAGCTCATCCACTCCCAGCTGGTGGGGTCGTTGGGTAATAACCCAGTGTGAGGAATGAAGGGGGCGAAGAGTTCCTCTCCCTCTCTCTCTCTCCTCAGAGGGAGGCAAAGTTGAGCTGCCATGCCTCAGAGGTCCCTCAGATGGTCGTCCTGAGCAGCAGGCCTGGTTTCAGAGGTCTCAGTCAGAGCTGGGCCACAGGTCCCAAGGCCTGGGCATCCAGAAGGGGTCCCTGGGCGTCCAGCTGTTCGTCTTCAACGTCTCTGACCAGATGGGGGGCTTCTACCTGTGCCAGCTGGGGCCCCCTTCCGAGCAGGCGTGGCAGTCTGGCTGGACAGTCAGCGTGGAAGGCAGTGGTGAGGTCTGGGCCGGGGCAGGGAGGGGTGGACGGGAAGAGGGAGGACATCCGGCCGCTAAAACAGATTTGGAGGGAGGGGCTCGAGGGGCTGAGGGACAAGCACGCAGCTAGTTCTAGGTGGCTCCTCAGAACTCCGGTGGCTTCACGACTTCAGCACTGAGCTATTCTATCTTTCACTCTCTTCTCTCTCTGAGTTGTCATTTCTCTCTCTCTCTGGGTCTTTGTCTCTGTCTCTGCTTTTCTGGGTCTCTGTATCTCTCTGCCTCTCCTGGATGTGTCTGTATCTGGTTCTGGGTCTCTTCCTAGGGGAGCTGTTCCGGTGGAATGCTTCGGCCCTAAATGACTCAGGCTGTGGGCTGGGGAACAGGTCCTCACAGGGCTCCAAGCCCTCTTCTGGTTACCCCACAAGCTCCCGGCTGTATGTTTGGGCCAAAGACCACCCTGAGATCTGGGAGATAGACCCTGAATGTGCCCCACCCAGGGGCAGTCTGAACCAGAGCCTCAACCAAGGTAAGGTGTTGGGGAGATGCCAGGAAGTGGGGGTTCCGGGGATGGGGGATGGTGATTGGGAACTGGAGGGTTTGCAGGGAGGAGACCCCAAGGATTACACTTTCCTAGCCTTGGCTCTCCTTGCCCCAGACCTCACCGTGGCCCCTGGCTCCACATTCTGGCTGCCCTGTGAGGTGCCCCCTGCCTCCGTGGCCAGAGGCCCCATCTCCTGGACCCACGTGCGCCCTAAGAAGCATAACATCTCCTTGCTGAGCTTAAACCTGAGGGAGGATGACCCAGGCAGAGAGATGTGGGTCCTGGGCACCCTCAGGGGAGGGGCTGTTCTGTTGCTGTCCCAGGCCACAGTTCGAGATGCTGGCATCTATCGTTGTTACCACGGCAACGTGACCATCAAGATGCAGCTGAAGGTCATTGCCCAGTCAGGTAGAGTTTCTCCCAATTGTGGGGCATCTGTGTGGGGGCTACTGGGAAGAATTGGGAGCCAGTCAACCTTGGCTCCCCCAAACTGAGAGCTAGTACCAGACTCATCCTGAACCCCAGCTTCTATACTGACCACTGACTCCACCTCTGTCCTCCCTTGTTTCCAAATCACTGCTTTTCTGGGTCTTCTCCTACCACTGGTTGCTCCTTCCCATCCACTTTGGAAGGGTCTTCCTCCCCCACTCCTCACTGTTGGAGCTCTGAGGCCTCGTCTTATCTCATCAGCACTTTCTCTTGTCCTTGTCCCCACTCTCTTCCTGTTTGACCTCCTTTACGCTCATGGCTCCTTAGGCCAGCATGCCTTAGTGACTCAATTCCAGGCTCCATACACCTCACCCCCAGCCATTTCCTGTCATTTGATGCCCCCGCAGGCTCAAAATATACAAAATCAAACTCAACATCTTCCCCAAGCGTAGTCTTTTGGGTGTCTCTGTGTTAGTGAAGGACCTGCCCACGGGCCGAAGCCAGGAACCTGGATATCCTTCCTTTTCCTCACCCATCCATCCATCAAACTGGTCACAGTGCTCTGCCTCTTCTGTCTCCCTTAATACAATCGTCCCATGCTACCCTAACCACAGTTCTCAACCTCAACCTCAAATTTCACTCCACACTTCACTCCAGTACACTGCTGCTTCCCACCTCTAAGTTCACCTTGTGAACTTGACTCTGATCTTCACTTTTGAACATGACTGTCCTTAATTGCAGCAGGAAGCTTATCATCATGCTCCCCTGAATCCTAACATAGAATCTGACTATAGTCATGGTTTGTTGCATAGATACTGCCCCAGGCCCCAGGTCAGGCTCTGGGGCGCAGTCCCTAACCTCAGAGGGAGGGAGGCCAGCCTTCCTTGTAGCTTATGATTCTGAAGATCTGTGTCTTGTCCATGTTCCCCAGACTTATGGCCCTTTGAGGTCTTGAGGCTGGGAAGCAACACGCCAGCCTGGGGTCCCCGTCTCATAGCTGCTTCTTCCCAGCAGTAAGGTATTGGCTGCTAGAGGCTGGTGGCTGGAAAGTCCCTGTTGTGCCATTACTTTATCTGATCTTCTGCCTGGGTTCCCTGGTGAGCTTTCTTCATCTTCGAAGAGGTGAGTCATGTCCCCCAGCCCATCTGCCCAACCTACCCATCTTCCCCAGGATGGCTCACACTGGCCAGTCTGACAACCACCTTTCTCTCCTCCCATACTTCCCCCACGGACCTCCAGTCCTGCTCCCCACTCCTCTAACCGCCCTCCAAACTTACCGGGCCCCTGGGACTTTGAAGTCCCTTCCCCTCCATTGACCCAAGTGACCTCCCCAGTGCCCCGCCAATCTTCACCCTGCCTCCTCTGATCACGCCCCTTAACTCTCACCAGCCCTGATCCTCAGGAGGAAAAGAAAGCGAATGACCGATCCCACCAGAAGGTAATGACGCGAGAGCCCCCGCAGTCTCCCATCCCTGCACTTTTGCTCAAAGCTTTGCACTTACTGTTTCCTCGGCTCAGCGTGTCATTCCCCACCTCTACCGTTGAAAAACTGCCCCAGCTTCAAAGCCCAGCTCCAAAGCTACCTCCCCTTGTGAAGACTCCTTGGAGTGACCCCAGACCCCCTCCGTAGGCTGCGGCAGAACAGAGGAGCTAAATACACGTGACTACGGTTTATCCTCTGAGGGCCAGGTCTCACAGTGCTAACCCCCTTCCTCCGCCAGGTTCTTCAAAGTCACGCCCCCCCCGGGAAACGGGACCCAGAATCAGTATGGGAACGTGCTCTCCCTTCCCACGCCCTCCTCCGGCACGGGTAGGAGGCACCGCCAGGTCTCGGACTCCGAGCTAGAGCCCCGCCCCTTTTCCTCGTCACTCCAATCCCCGGAGCGCCCAGTCTCCCCGAGCTCGGAACTCCGCCTTCAGAAAAAAGAGCCCGCCCCGGGGCGCGGAGTCCCGCCCAGATCCGAGCCCCGCCCCTAGCACCAGAGCCCGCCCCCAGAGTTCATGGCCCCGCCCCCAGGGCGCGGGACCTGAAGTCCCGTTCCGAGAGCCGCACCGCCCCCGAGGCCGAGGCCACGCCCCCAGGTGTAGATCCCGCCCCTTCGGCTCAGGGCGAGGGTGGGGGGGCCCAGCCGCGAAGGCCCCCTTGGAGCCGGGAGCTTCCCGTCCCCTGGCCAGCCTCGCAGACCCTTAGCCTTGACCGCCCCCATCTCTTTTGTCCCGCTACAACGCTCCTCCCGCCAGGACGCGCCCTGAGGTGGGCTGCAGGCCTGGGGGCCGCCGTGCAGTCTTACGGAAGCCCGCGCAGCGACGTCCCGGAGCCCGGAGCCGCGGGATCCCGGAGCCCGCCGCCGGCAGGTGATTGATTGTGGGGCTGGGGCGGGGGTTCCTCACGTCAGGGGTGTTGGAGCGGTCTGCGGCTGGAATACTGGACTGGGGCCTGGAGGAAGGGGGCTGTGACTCGGTTCCCACTCAAATCCCGAAACCCAGGCCCAGAAGAAGAAGGGGAGGCCTATGAGGAGCCAGACGGTGAGGAGGGCTCCGAGTTCTACGAGAATGACTCCAACCTTGGGCAGGACCAACTCTCCCAGGGTAAGACTGCGCCCCCCGCGGCTCCCCCACCTTCTCAGCGCTGGGCTGTGGGCCCTCGCTGGACCCCCTCCTTCTCCACCAGATGGCAGCGGCTATGAGAACCCTGAGAATGGGGCCTTGGGTCCTGAGGATGAAGACTCCTTCTCCAGCGGTAATTTGGGGTCCTTGTGGGGCCTCAGAGGCTTGGGAGGACCCAGACGGCCGTGGAGCCCCTACAGGGCAGGAATGGCCCCTGGAGTTCTCTGTTTTCCTGCAGCAGCAGAGTCTTACGAGAATGAGGATGAAGAGCTGGCCCAGCCAGTCACCAGGACAGTAGGTATGTGTGAGGACCGTCACATTAATGTGGGCTGTAGGGTGGCGGGAGTGTATGTGTGAGCTGGAGGCCAGGAGGAATAACTTCCTTTCTCTTCTCTAGACTTCCTGAGCCCCCATGGGTCAGCCTGGGACCCCAGCAGGGAAGCAATCTCTCTTGGTGAGAAATGCTAGGAACCATCCTGCCTTGGGCCTATTGGGTTGACCTGGCTCTCACCTCTGACTCCAGGCTCAACCTCAACCTTGACCTTGACTCTGACCCCAGGTGTAATTCTGGCTTTGGATCGATTCCTAACACTAACCTCAACCCCAATCCTGATCCCAGGATTTACCCCATCCCTAACTATGAACATCAACTCTGATCCCCCTGTGATTCCAGCCTGGATTTTGACTTCTACCTCATGCCAGCCCCCCTACAAACCGCAGCTTTGACCCCAGTTGTCTCTACAGCCTCCTCACGGCTCTGACTTTGACTTTGACTTCTGCCAGTTCTGTTCTTTTTTTTTTTTTTTAAAGATTTTATTTATTTATTGGAGAGAGAGAGAGTGAGAGAGAACATGAGAGGGGAAAGGGTCAGAGGGAGAAGCAGACTCCCCACCAAGCAGGGAGCCCAACATGGGACTCGATCCTGGGACTTCAGGATCATGACCTGAGCCGAAGGCAGTCGCTTAACCAACTGAGCCACCCAGGCGCCCCTGCCAGTTCTGTTCTTGACAGTGATCATAATCTAACCCACATCTGACCAAACCCTTAACAAGGGTCTTGAATCTGACACCGACCCTAATCTCTCCTTCCTAGTACAGCATGAGTCAAGCCCTCCACCTTCCTCTGCCCCTCAGATTCCCTCTGTGTCTTAGGCTGCACTTCCGTTCCCCAAGTCCAGCGTGGCTCTAGGCCTCCAACTCTCCTGCCCAAGCAGGCTCCCAGTCGTACGAGGATATGAGAGGGATCCTGTATGCAGCCCCCCAGCTCCGCTCCATCCGGGCCCAGCCTGGTCCCAACCATGAGGAAGGTGGGTGCTTCTGCTTCTGTCCCCTGTTGTCCTCTGAGTCTCACCCCCTCCCAGCCTACTTCTGGGTCTAGCTGTATCTTACCCTTCCTGGTGCTAATCAGATGCAGACTCCTATGAGAACATGGATATGGATAATCCCAATGGGCCAGAACCAGCATGGGGAAGAGGAGGCCACATGGGCACCTGGAGCACTAGATGATTCCCTTCAGGTGAGCCGGAAACTGCCCTCTAAGGAAGGGGGAGAAAGAAGGAGATGAGTAGGGGTGGAAGTGATTCTCAGGGAGGGAGAGAGGAAAGGGTTCCCAAGACCTGGTGTTCGGGGAAGGGGGGGGCGGGCTTCTGGAACCTCCCATCACCATTTCTTCTCCATAGCCTGGGCCTCCTTAGGCCCCTGAGATCCATACCTGATTCTGAAATCTGGGACCCTGAGCAGACAGCATCAACCTCTGGAGCGACGTTGCCTCGGATGTGTGTGTGTGTGTGTGTGTGTGTGTACCAATGAAACTTTGGCTCCCTTGCACTCCCCCAATAAACTCAATGACTTCTTCCGATCCTTTGATGTAAATGCCCTTGTATGGGAGGGGAGGGGAAGGTGAGGATGCATGTTCTCCATCCCCCTCTCGAATCTGGCAGAGGAGGGAGAGCTGAATCCTGGGTACAAAGGAGGGGCCTTTTCCCTCCAGTGGCTTGGCCTGCCCCTGTCTCCCTCACTTGCCTGCCATGGCCACCGTCCAGTTGTTCAGTGATCGTTGCTTCAGCGGCCGTGGGGGCCCAGGGAAGGGGAAGCCGGCCGGGAATGCGCAGTCATCACTGGCCTTTACCGAGCATCTCCTCTGTTCCCACGCCCGTCAACCCATTTCATCTCTACAATAACCTCACAAGGTCATTGAGCACTTAGGTGCCAGAATTGTATCTTAAGTATTTATGTCTATTTTACGTATATAGTATATATACATACATACATACATACATATATATAGGTTTATGTATATTAGCTCATTTTATTTTCATAACCAACCCTGTTTCAGAGGTGAGAGTCTGAGGCAGAGAAGCTGAGGAACATGCCGAAGGCTCGCCTAGCTGGGGTCAGCGCTCGAACTCTGACGGTCTAATTCCAGAGCCTATACTCAGTCTTAACACTCCCTTTCTGGTTGCAGTTTTGTAGATGGGAAACTGAATGTCAGAGAGGCAAGTGACATGTCTAAGGTCACATGACTGGTGCTTCGCAGCACTAGATGTGAACCCAGAAATCTGGCTGCAGTCCTAGCCGGTGTGCCTACTCTCTGATAAACTACTTCTTTTTCTTCTTTTTTTTTTTAAAGATTTTATTTATTTATTTGAGAAAGCATGAGCAGGGGTGGGGGGTTCAGGGCAGAGGGACAAGCAGATTCCCTGCTGAGCACGGAGCCCAATGCCCGGCTCCATCTCACGACCCTGAGATCGTGAGCTGACCCGAAATCGAGTCACTTAACCGACTGAACCACCTAGGCGCCCCTCCAGAATTCCTTTTCTTACTGCACCAGTTCTTTCCTCATAATGTTCCGTTTTTTAGAGCCTCTATTCCTTCTTTATCTCTGAATCTTTAAAACTTAACTTTCTCTGTGTTAACACTATTATTATGTGCCTGGCATCATTCTAATAAGTGCTTTACAGGTAGCATCTCATTTTATCTTTGCAACAATCCTATGAGGGCGGGACGCTAAAATTATTCTCATTTTACAGCTGAGAAGACTGAGTCACAGGGAAATCAAATACTTCGATTGCTAACTGACCTTAGGTAACTTGCTTAAGCTCAATGACCCTCAGTTGTCCCAATTATAAAACAGCATTAGGGAGGGGGCATGGTGTGGTTACTATTATCTGTACAACGGGTTGGATTTTCCCGTGGTGGTGTCATTGTGGAAGGTTTTTTGACCTCTTTGTGTTTCTCCTGCCTACAGGAGTCCCCTGGGCCCCACTGCCATCCCTGGGGGCCAGCTTGCCACAGTCTTACAGGCAACACAGGTTTCTTACCATTTTATTCATGAGTGAGTATCTCAGAGCAGGTGTTCGTACCAGAGGTTTGGTTGGAATCCGAGCCCATACTTTGGTGAACCTTGGGTTCACCTGCAGTGACTTTTCCCATGCACTCCCTGTTGGGTGGCTTGCTTCCATACTGCATCCCAGGGCCTGTGGATGGGTTTTTTTTCTCTGTTTCCTGCGCCCAGAACAGACAGCCCATTCTCAGCTCCTAGCTTTGTGCAGGGTGCTCAGTTTCAGTTCTGTGCTGTTCCTGGGACCTCAGTTTGACCTCTGTCCCCATGTGGGGCTTAAAACCCCAATTCTCGGGGGGGTTCCTGGGCCAGTCGTTAAGCATATGCCTTTGGCTTAGGTCATGATCCCAGGGTCCTGGGATCGAGCCCTGCATTGGGTTCTCTGCTTGGCTGGGAGCCTGCTTCTCCCTCTCCCTGCCACTCCCCCTGCTTGTGCTCTCTCTCTCTCTGTTGAATAAATAAATAAAATCTTTTTTTCTTTTTCTTTCTTTCTTTTTTTTTTTTTAAGGGAGAAGCAGGCTCCCCACCGAGCAGAGAGTCCCATGCAGAGCCAGATCCCAGGACCCTGGGATCATGACCTGAGTTGAAGACAGACACTTTTTTTTTTTTTAAGATTTTATTTATTTATTTGACAGAGAGAGAGAGAGCACAAGCAGGGGGAGCAGCAGGCAGAGGGAGAGGGAGAAGCAGGCTCCCCGCTGAGCAGGGAGCCTGATGTGGGCCTCAATTCCAGGACCCTGAGATCATGACCTGAGCCGAAGGCAGACGCTTAACTGACTGAGCTACCCAGGCACCCCCAGAAGGCAGATGCTTAACCAGCTGATCCACCCAGGCACCCCATAAATAAAATCTTTTTAAAAAATCTTTAAAAAAAAGAATTAAAAAAAAGCAATACTTACTAAATTTTGCGTAGAGTATGTTTGGAGTTTGGGAGGTGGGATACGAACCTCCAGCATTACCTTGGGCTTCCATTTTGGACCCAGTCCCTGTGGCAAAGAAAAACAAATTAGTAAGAAATCCAGATCTAGGGTGCCTGGGTGGTTCAGTCGTTAAGTGTCTGCCTTCGGCTCAGGTCATGATCCCTGGGTCCTGGGATCGAGCCCCGCATCGGGCTCCCTGCTCTGCGGGAAGCCTGCTTCTCCCTCTCCCACTCCCCCTGCTTGTGTTCCCTCTCTCGCTGTGTCTCTCTCTGTCAAATAAATAAAATATTAAAAAAAAAAAAAAAGAAATCCAGATCTAGCTCAGCATTCAAACTCCCACCTTACCCTTCGGCCAAAATAAGCTTTTCCTATTGCCACAGTCCCCGCCATTCCCTATTACCCTTCATCCACCTGTTTTATTCCATTTAGCTTTCCTGCCTGGGCCTGAAACATCTGAGCATGTGACTCTGGGTGAAAACATCCTGCCTTCTTGGGCGTGAATCCATGTCGGCGTCTTCTCTGTGCCCCTGGTGCCAAGCCAGGTGGTGGCAGAGATCAGGAGCTCCAGAAATGAGTGGGGAAGGAGGGAAGGACCAACTTGGAAAGCCCTGAGAGGCAGAGTGCAGAGGATGGTGCCCCTCCTAGCCCCCCCACCCCGGGGGAGGTCTGGGAGGGGGGGAGTTCAGAAGCAGAGGTGTGGCAGTTCCAGCCCAGTGCTCTGGGATCAGACTGTCTTGGTTTGAATCCCAGCTCCCCTCAAGCTCCCCTTGAGCTGTGTGCCTCAAGCTCTCTGTGCTGCAGACAAACATCTGTAAAATAGGGATAATAATTATACCTCCCTTAATGAGTCTTTTTTTTTTTTGAGAGAGAGCAAGAGTGAGAGAGAGAGCATGAGTGGGTGAAGGGCAGAGGGAGAAGCAGGCTCCGCGCCAAGCAGGGAGCCCGATGCGGGACTCAATGCGGGGCTCGATGCGGGGCTCGATCCCGGGACTCGATCCCGGGACTCCAGGACCATGACCTGAACCGAAGGCAGAGGCTCAACCGACTGAGCCACCCAGCTGCCCCTCCCTTAATGAGTCTTAAATGAGATGTAAAGCTCATGACATTACCATAGTGAGCACTCAAAGAGTAGCCAGTATTTTGATTTGGCATTTACTAAGGGCCTGCTGTGTGCCAGGAGCCAGGGGGCATCAAGATCATTTGGATGATCTCTCCAGTGCAGAGACTTGTCCAGGAGGAAGTCACACTCCAAAGCTTCTCCTCATCCACGTGACCTGATTTTTTGGCAGGGGCTGGACCACTTCTTCCTCTTGAGCAAAGTTGGAGAAGAAGGAGGCTTGAGGGAAATCCCAGGTCCTTGGGGCCACCCCCTGCCTCCGTAGTTGGCAGTGGCCTCCAGATGGGGCCCAAGGCTGGGAGAAGGGTTTTTGGTGCAGTCTCTCTGCTCTCAGCCTGGCGACAAAGAGTGGCTGAAGGTTTCCTGGGACCGGGAGGTCCTTGGAGTCCCCTCTACCGGAGCCTGGGGTGCCTTTGTCCCCTGGTAAACAGCACCACCTGCTGGAGTTGTGCACCTTCAGTTGGGCTGGGCTCCGTCTGCAAGGAGGATGTGAGGTGTGGGCTGACGAGTCAGGGTGTGTATGTCGGGGACATCAGTCAGGAGGAGGGGGATGGACTGGAATGTGCGTGGTGGTCAGGAGGCTGCACTAGCTGGATGTATGAAGTACAGGTTATGTGAACATCACGTGTGTGAGAGGCAGTGGTACTTGGGTGTATGCTGTGTGCGTGTTGTGTGCAAAGTGTGGTGTGGGACGCGTGGGGTGAGGTGTCAGGGGTCATAAGTTGGAGGTGATGTGGGAGGTGTGAGGTGTTGAAAGAGCGTGTCTGTGCCGCGTTGGGGTGCATGATGAGGAGTTGCAAATAAGGTAGATGTGCGGAGGATATGTAGTTTCAGTGTGGTTGGTGGGTGTGTTGGGAAATGTAAAGAAAAAACAAAATCTTCTTCCAACACTGAAAACCTCCACCAAGGTAGCAGAGACACAAAAACAATTTTTTGGGGGGGAAGATTTTATTTATTTATTTGCCAGAGAGAGAGAGAGAGTGTGAGAGCACAAGCAGGGGAAGCAGCAGGCAGAGGGAGAGGGAGAAGCAGACTCCCCGCTGAGCAAGGATCCCAAATCAGGACTCGATCCCAGCACCCTGGGATCATGACCTGAGCTGAAAGCAGACACTTAACCGACTGAGCCACCCAGGCGTCCC